TGGAAGCAGGCGAGAAGGAGCAGGGAGACAGGAGAGCAAAGTCAGTATAGAGTTGCCACTGCAAGTGTGCGGGGCACGACAGCTCCAGGACCGTGACCGCTGAGAGGCTGCAGGAGGTGTCTGGGATTGTCCATCAGAGCGAGGGAGATGGGAAACTTGTCCTCTGTTCCCACCCCCGGGGCGGTGCCTGTCACGCAGTATGGGCTGGCAGCATGGAGCTCTGGAGGGGTTGAGGTGCACCTGTACCCCAGAGGATGCGGGCAGTCAGAGCTCTGCAGAGCTGTCTGCTGCAGCGAGGAGGCCGGAATCCGAGAGAGGCAGGGGGCCTGGCATAGTGTGCTGGCAGCGTCAGCTACGAGCTTCCACTCAGAAAAGGTGGGGAGGAAACGGGACATAGGAGGGCAAGGTCCGTGGAGGAGGTGAGCACATGAGCACAGCCAGTGAACCTGGTGTCACCTGTGAGACACCCCACGGAGAGGGCTGGCGCGTGGAGTCCGTGCTCCCGGGCACGGAGGGGGCCCCAGGTGGACCTTCTCAAACAGAGTAACACACAGGCCCTTTCTCTTCGTTGCAGATTCCAGCCGGGGGTCTTTCCGTAAGCAGGTGATGGCGAGGGTGAAAATGACTCAAGCCTCAGAGCCTCCAGAAGCATCTGGAAGGTTCTCAGGGGGTGGGCCTCCAACACTGGTCTGCAGAGAAGCTGCCGGGCACGAGGGCAGGCTAGGGAGCCTTGAGAATTTCCTTTTCCAGGAGAGACAACCACACAGAACCTACTGGACCATCTCCAAAGCAGAAGGTGCCCAGAAAGGCGGTAAATGGGGACCCGAACTTCTCCGCAGCCCGCGCCCCGGGGCCCGTGAGAGAAACATGAAACGGTAGCGAGCCCACACGTGCGAAACGTGAGCCAAGAGCTTCCGGTACCTCTCGCGCCTGTGAGACACCGGGCCACGCACAGCGCCGAGAAGCCGCACGCGTGCGGGAGTGCGGCCGCGCGTTCAGCCAGCGCTCGCACCTGGCGCAGCACCGCAGCGCGCACGCGGGCCGGAAGCCGCACACCTGCGGACAGTGCGGCCACGCATCCACAGCGGCGAGAAGCCCTTCGGGTGCCAGTGGTGCGGTAAGCCCTTAAGTTACAACACCCTCCTCGCCCAGCACCAGCGGATCCACACCCGAGAGAGGCCGTTCCGGTGCGCGAGGTGCGGGAAGAGCTTTATCTGGAAGTCCAGCTTTCGGAACCACCAGAAATCACACCGAGGCAGCGTGGACCTCTGTAAGCTAAGCTCTGGAAGCAGCCGCTGGAGGGGAGAGCTTGGGACTCGCTGCTACTCCAAGGAGCGCCCCGGAAGGATGTCCCCGGGTATGTGGAGCAGTGCCAGAGCGAGACCAGCACGAGGGACCGGATTGTTTCTCCACCCGCGATCAACTTGTGCATTTCGGGTCCTTCCCACGACAGGGGGGTGGCCCAGGCCTGCCTGCCCCGGCGGGCGCCACCCGATAGCCTGCTGGATTCCGCGTGGCTGTGGCACTTCTTGGGCAAGTTGATGGTTTGAAAGTCGCTATTTTCAAGTGCATCCAGATTTTATTTTTGAAACTTAAAACGTAGCTCTTTGTCTCTATTTGCATCATAGGTGGGTTCTAAACGCCTTTGAAATCCAGATGGGCTACAGAGCTTTTGGATAATCAATCTTTCATCGCACAGCAGCCCTGAGCACCTGGCGGAGGGCATGGGGAGGTCACGTAACTCTAGTCATCATTCGGTTCGGGCTTGTTATTTTCGGATGCTGATTTGCTGCAGGAGGATGTGACTGTTCCACCTGGGGCAGCTCAGCCCTTGCGCTGTTGGCGCTGTGACTTTACTCACTCAGCTTCGCTTTCCTGTATGCGCACTCTTTGCTTGTGTCACACTGAGTGTGCATGGCATTTGAACTGTTCTTTTTTTCCAGCCAGTTCTTCTATACAGAATAGGTTTGCATAGTATGAATGTTTTCTATACAACAGTAACATTAAAAACTATTAAAACACATGGTAGAAATATGAGACAACAGATATAAAAGAAGCCACTGGTCATGAAACACAGAAGATCCATAAGAAAGTTAGTTTGCAAATGCTGCCCAAGCATCGGGGGCAGGGGGGAGGCTGTGCCTTTGTGTCCTGTGACCACCCACTGAATTCTTGTCATTCCCGGATACATCATACCACCACTTACAGGCTGAGCGTCACCATGTCTAATGAAACTCCAGCCATTTTCCTACAGACATGGTCAATAACTTAATTACAGAAGCAATACATGATCATTTGAGGAAATATACAAATATATACATATAAAATAAAGTAAAATGGGGGACTTCCCTGGCGGTCCAGTGGTTAAGACTCCGCGCTTCCACTGCAGGGGAATCTCCAGTCCCTGGTTGGGGAACCAAGACCCCACATGCCATGCAGTGTGGCCTAAATAAATAAATAAATAAAATTAAGTAAAATATAACAGGAAGTTTTATTTTGACTCATATTGGTGCTGTAGGAACCCGGTAAACTGACAATGAAATGGGGGGATTTGGGTGTTGCCCACAGTGTTTCACCCAAACTATGTAGATTCAAAGCTGTAACAGAAGAAAACTTTCCTGAACTAAAGGCATATCTGATTTCAATGCTGAAAGACCTGATTGTGCACTAAGAAAAAAACAGAGAACACAAAGTCTAATGAAATTACTGAACCACAAAGATAAAATACTATACAAACATCCAGGAAAAAGAAGTAGATCACCAACAGAGGAAAAAAATCAGTTTGCCCCAGACTTTAATTAACAAAGGCTGTAGCTCTTTCCGTATTTATTTCCTTAATGTGTCGTAGTCATATTTTATTTAATTAATTATTTTATTCATTTATTTTGGCCGCGTATGGGGCATGCAGGATCTTAGTTCCTGGTGCTCCCTGCAGTGGAAACTTTGAGTCTTAACCACTGGACCACCAGGGAAGTCCTACAGTCATATTTTAAAGCTTATTGCCTTTCTCTTCCCTACTAGTGTGTGATCGCAATAGTTAAATTCAAATTAAGTTCGTAAGATGCAAAAAATATGATGGAATCTTGCCATCAATAAAGGAGACAACATGGCTCCGAAACACTACGTGAAACAGGATGCAATTAATGAACCAGACACTGGATTATCTTCCTTTGGGGAGGGGGAGGGAGTAGTTATAGAGCTATGTAATAATTGCATTATGTTGGAATGGTTTGAGAGGAAGTTTTGAAATTGCTTTTTGAGAAAATGTGCTTATGTGGATATCAGGTTTTCAAGGAGTGGATTGTAATGAACAGCTCTTGTTTCAGCCCATCCCACATCTATCCCCTCCTTCTTTCTTTTTGTAAGAGCACCTCGCCTTTGGTTTGCAGCACTTCCTAGGATCTGTTGTAGGAAGTCACAGTGGCGGTCTCAGTCTGGGTGCACCTCCTCCCGTGGCCACTGGTCAACCGGGGAGGAAGCTAAGGCAATCAGACCCTCCCTTCCAGTCCATCACTGAAGGAAAAGGTGTGTATATATCTCATGTCATCTGTGAATAGTGATAGATTTACTTCTTTCCAATTTGGATGCCTTTTCTTTTTCTTGCCCAGTTACTCTGGCTAGAAATTCCAGTACAATGTTTAACAGGAGTGGCAAAAATGGATATCCTTGTCTAATTTCTTACCTTAGGGGGAAAGCTTTCAGTCTTTCATTCATAGAGTATGATGTTAGCTGTGGGTTTTTCAAAAATGCCCTTTATTAAGTTGAGGAAGTCCTCTTCTGTTCCTGGTTTGTTGCGTGTTCTTATCATGAAAGGGTGTGATTTTGTCAAATGCTTTATCTGCATCAGCTGAGATGATCATGTAGTTTTTTTCTTTGTCTTTTTTTAAAACAATTACAGACGTTTTATTTTATTTTTTTATTATTATTTAAAATTTTTTGGCTGCGTTGGGCCTTTGTTGCTGCACGCGGGCTTTTCTCTGGTTGCGGCGAGCGGGGACTACTCTTCGCTGTGGTGCGCGGGCTTCTCATTGCGGTGGCTTCTCCTGTTGCAGAGCATGGGCTCTAGGTGCACGGGCTTCAGTAGTTGTGGCACGTGGGCTCAGCAGTTGTGGCTCACGGGCTCTAGAGTGCAGGCTCAGTAGTTGTGGCTCACGGGCCTGGCTGCTCCGCGGCACGTGGGATCCTCCCAGACCAGGGCTCGAACCCGTGTCCCCTACATTAGCAGGAAGATTCTCAACCACTGCGCCACCAGGGAAGCCTGAAAGTCTCTTTTTCTTAAAGTCACCTGATTGAAGATGTTACCATCTACAAAATCTCTTCACTGGCAACACCTAGATTTGTGTTTGATTGAATCACTGGGTGCTACAGCCTGGCCAAGTTGACACCTAACACCAACCATCACACCAGGCATCGTTCCTAACTTCCTCCCCATAACTTGCGTAGCTAGTGAAGCATGAGTCCCGTTAATTCTACCACCTCGATGTTGCTTAATTCAGTAAACTTCTTTTGCGTCCTCATTACCTGAACTACAGCAGTGGCCGCTAAGTGGTTTCCTGCTTTTAATAATCTCCTGAAACGTGTTTGTCTTTTTAATGTATTTATTAAAGTATATTTTATATACTGCCCCCTCAGTGTCCCGAATATAGTAACAGAGTTGCAGTTGTTTCTCACAAATGCAGTGTTTGCCCTAGGAAAGCACTGAGGAGTTGCAGCTTCTCCATATTTAGAATGGTGTTCGGTTCTGCCGCCTCTCCTCGGTCCACAGCTTGCGGGCTTTCGGAGACGCGCCGCCTCCCCTCCTCTCCCACGCCCCCACGCTCTCCAGCAGGGGCTCGCGCCCAGCGCCAGGCTGGGTTAAGGGCGGGTCGGGGTCCGCCCAGGGGAGGAGGAGCCGGAAGAACTACATTTCCCAGGCTGCTGCGCGGTTTCCGGACTCCATTTCCCAGCAACGCCCGGGGCGCCCCGCCAGGACTCCATTTCCCAGAGTTCCGCGGGAGGGCCCGACCTGGTCCCGCTCCCTCCACCTAACCCCAACGCGTGGCAGGACTCTCAGCCGGCGCCTGAAGCCGCTCTCCGGGCAGGTCAGGTAAGACGCAGGTGGGACAGCGCGGGGCACGAGGGGACCCTGGGACGGGGGGCGTGGTGTGGCGAGCCGGGGCCTGGGCCTTGGGTGTCCCGTGACAGCCAGAGGGGCCTGAGGGGTACCAGGAACTGGGGGTGTAGGAGGGGCCTGGAAGCGTGGGAGGGGGCCCAGCTGCAAGATGCGGTGGGTTCGGAGGTGGGGCCAGGAAGGGGACCCGGGGGCGTGGGAAGCGCCTGAGGGACGTGGAGGGGCCCGGCCGTGGTGGGGTCTACCCCAAGGCCTGCTGCCGCGCTGCGCGCGCTCTCGAGAGCAGCGGGATTTCTGGGCAGCGTCCCCTCCTGTCCGGGCTGCCCGTGGGGCCCTGCAGCGGGGTCAGAGCCGTCCTGTAGCGGCCCGAGCAGATTTCCAGCCCCCAGGAAGGGTCCTCAGAGGTGGTGGCGCCCCGAGGCCTGTCCATTTCTTAGCCAGAAGCGCAACCTGCCCAGAAGGAGCCAGGCTCTCGAAGGCTAGCTGGGACCAGCTGGCCGCTGGTGGGCACCGGGTTGCATACACAGGCGCCGCCCCTTCCCCGTCTGTAGCATATGGACTTTGGCTGGGAGCAGCCCAAACGACCTGGGCCAGGAGCCCCCAGCCCCAAGGTTGGCTGCCTCCCCTCTTGTCAGACAGAGAGGAGCCGAATGTTCCTTTTCTTGGCCCAGTGGGGGTCAGGGTTGGGCCTGCAGGGCAGAGCCTGGCTCTCCCAGCTGGGTGGTAGTCCTAGGGCCCCTGTGCAGCTCTAGACAGAGGGCTTCCTGGAGAGCAGGGCTGAGAGGAGGGGATGACTCAGGCTAGATGGGTCTGTCTGGTACCCAGTGGGCAGTCTCCCCGCGCTGCTGACCTTATACTGTGCCCGCTGCCCCAGGCCAGCCCTTGGAAAGCACAGTGGGGCCCGGTGCTAAGGGCAGTGACCCTAGGCTGGGGCATCTCAGGGGAGTGGGGTTCTGTTGCGTGGGAGCGGGATGGCCTCAGCCTCACACCATTTGGCCCTGCAGGTGCAGCCAACATGGGTGAGCCCCAGGGGTCCATGCGGATCCTAGTGACTGGGGGCTCTGGGCTGGTGGGCAGAGCCATCCAGAAGGTGGTAGCAGATGGGGCCAGGCTGCCCGGAGAGGACTGGGTGTTTGTTTCTTCCAAGGATGCTGATCTTACGTGAGTGGGCTCATCCCTGGAGCAGCCCCACCATGCCCTCTCCAGACTGAGAGCTCTGGGCCAGGCCTGTTCCTGGACCTGGTAGCCTCATGTCAGGCCCGTCCCTGCCAGGTGGCTGGCCTGGCCTGGGTGCGTGCAGTTTTGCTCCTGGACAAACTTCCTCCCATCTCTTCCTGGAAGCCCACACCCTCATGCCAGCCAGGGCCTGACCCTCCCACCTTCGGCCCCGCCTGCCTCCTGCCCCCAGTGCTTTCAGCCAGGGTGCTAGTTCCCTTGGGCCTCCAAGCAGCCCCTGATGGCCCGGCTCCCCCTCAGGGATGCTGCACAGACCCGAGCGCTGTTTGAAAAAGTCCGGCCCACACATGTCATCCATCTTGCTGCAATGGTGGGGGGCCTGTTCCGGAATATCAAATACAATTTGGACTTCTGGGTAAGTGAGGGGGCCCCAGTGAGCACTGGGAGCCAGGACCCCGGATTCTGGGAACTTCCTGGCCAACTTCCCAAGCTCCTGTTCCGGCCCCGGGAAGTCTCTGAGGGGCCCCCAGTGACCCACACTTGATTTGTAGGTAGAGGGGCACACAGGTGGGCCTGGGGGCATTTGGCCGAATAGGAAAAGCCTCAGAGCTAACCTGGGGGTTGGAGGAGCTGAGACAAGCCAGTGTTTGCCTTGTGACCCCCGGCTGGTTCCTGCCCCCTGGGCCTTCAGACCCTCCTGGTTCCAGGAGGTCCAGCTGCACTGAGCCAGGCCCACAGTGCGCTCAGGGGTGCAGAGGTGCGTGAGCTGGGCTCTGGGCCTGCAGCATGTGCCCTGAGGGGTTGCACGTGTGGGGTAGGGGCAGGAGGAGAGCTGGGCTCGCCCACAGCCCTGCCTGGCTGGGCCTCTGAGGGCTGGCCCATCATCTCTAAAATTGGCCTTGGCCTGGTTTGGCCCTGCATCGGGCCTGGGATGGCAGAAGCTTAGACCAGATTTTCCCTGGGGGCCCCTGTCGCCACAGGGCCCTCCTCGTCTCAGTGACAGCCTTCGCAGCAGGCTGCCCGGCCACCACCTCTCCCCAGACCACCCAAATGCCCTGGCCAGCTGAAGTCCCCGGAAGGGGCTGGAGGAGGGGTGTGGCCAGCCAAGGCTTCACTGCTACTGAGCAGTAGAGCAGGGTGAGCTCCTGGGGGTGCGGGAGTGGAGAGGCTGCTTCTTCCTGCCCTGCCGCGGGGCCAGGTTGGGCCCCCTGGGCTCCTGGCTCGCACCTCACCTGCCTAGCCCGCAGCAGCCCCTGTGGGCAGGCTCAGCCCTGAGCTTAGGGGTGTGGCCCTCTCCTCAGGGCCCTCCCCCAGCCTCAGAGTAGGCAGGCCTGGACCCTCCTACAGCCCTGGGGGTGGGACTAACAGGCTGGGAGGGGGCCATGGTTTCTGGACAGTGGGTCCTGGGAGCTGGTAGAACCGCTGGCTCAGGTACTGCCTGCCAGGGTGTGTCCGCACTTCTGTCCGTGGAGGGGCAGGTAAGGGCCGGCATCCTGCCTGGCGCCTGAACCCTGCCCTGCCCCTGCCCCCTCAGCGGAAAAACATACACATCAACGACAACGTGCTGCACTCGGCCTTCGAGGTGGGGGCGCGAAAGGTGGTCTCCTGCCTGTCTACCTGCATCTTCCCCGACAAGACCAGCTACCCTATCGATGAGACCATGGTGAGGGGCGGGGCTGGGGCGGGGCCTGGCCTGGGGGCAGGGCTGAGAAGCAGCGGCTCCTCTGCTCCCCCAGATTCACAACGGACCCCCGCACAGCAGCAATTTTGGCTACTCTTACGCCAAGAGGATGATCGACGTGCAGAACAGGTCCTCTTCCCGCGCGTGCCAGGCTGAAGCCAGCCAAGAACGGGGAAGGGGGCCCCAGATGCCCTGTGGTGGGTGGGCCCAGGGGGCCGCCCTGGCAGGCCTCTCAGATCTTGGCTCCCCTCCTCGCTAGCCTCGGCTGGGGTGGGGCTCGCCCGTGATCCAAGGATGAGGGCCAGAGGGGATGCTGTGCCCCCGCAGGGCTTACTTCCAGCAGCACGGCTGCACCTTCACCGCTGTCATCCCCACCAATGTCTTTGGGCCCCATGACAACTTCAGCATCGAGGACGGCCACGTGCTGCCTGGCCTCATCCACAAGGTGCATCTGGCCAAGAGTGAGTGACCGCCACCCATGGCACAGCTGTTTGCTTGCTTGATGGGGCCCCTGGGGAACAGTGGGGAGGAGGGGCGGTGCTGGCACTTACCCTCTGACACCTGCCCTCCCCACCCTGCAGGTCGCGGCTCAGCCTTGACAGTGTGGGGCACAGGGAGGCCTCGGAGGCAGTTCATCTACTCACTGGTTGGTGCCGCGAGGGGCACAGCTGTTCCCCAGAACGTCTCCTGGAGCTGCCGTGCTGGCTGTGGGGAGGCATGAGGGAGCCTAGGAAGGGCCGGGTGTCCAGGCTGAGCCCCCAGGGGAGCAGTCACTGGTCCTTGCTGGGTCCGTGTACGTTCCATTCCCCAGGGACGTTGCTGGGTACAGCTCTGAGCTCATCAGGAGAAAGGACTTGGGGCTGAGCTGGCCAAGCACTGCCCAAAGGGGGGTACCCCGGGCCCCAGCCAGGCCTGGGCTGTACCCCGCCAAGCAGGAGCACTTGGGAGAGGTGACCTGGGCCCGTTTGGCCGTAATTTGTGGCCTTTGACCCTGGCTGTCTGACCTCCAGGACCTGGCCCGGCTCTTTATCTGGGTCCTGCGGGAGTACGATGAGGTGGAGCCCATCATCCTGTCAGGTGGGTGCCCTGCAGTCCCAGCCCCATTGCAGTGGGGCAGGACACCCGTCTGTCCTGAGAGCCGCTGAGCAGGGCAGCGGGAACATCTGTGGGGCTGGGCGGCAGTGGGTCCAGGCAGAGGAGGCCTGACCTGGCCACTGGTCCCTCGGTCCCCACAGTGGGTGAGGAGGATGAGGTGTCCATCCAGGAGGTGGCTGAGGCCGTGGTGGAGGCCATGGACTTCCATGGGGAGGTCACCGTATCCTTTGGTTCTAGGCGGGAGACCGTGGGCCTCCCTGCAGGAGGCCGTGGGTGTGACGCACCCATGGCACTCACCCTGGCAGCCGGGGGTGAGGGTGTCTGCTGCTTTCTCCTGGAGGCTCCCCCTGGGAAGGCTAGACAAGCTTCAAGGGCAGGCTGGTGGAAGGGTGGGCTGCCCCTTCTGCTGTGCCCTTGACCAGGTGCCTAGTTTGATACAACCAAGTCGGATGGGCAGTTTAAGAAGACGGCCAGTAATGGCAAGCTGCGGGCCTACCTGCCCGACTTCCGGTTCACGCCCTTCAAGCAGGGTGAGCCCTCCCACCCCATCCCTCAGGACCGCCCGGCCCCTCCCCAGGCCTCAGCTTCCCTACTGCCGGTTGGGGGTGGATGCCCTGCAGCTTTGGCCTCCACGCCCTCACCGTGGAGGCAGGACACGGGGTGACTGCCCTACGTCCCTGGGCCTCACCCGCCCGCCTCTGCAGCCGTGCAGGAGACCTGTGCCTGGTTCACTGACCACTACGAGCAGGCCCGGAAGTGAAGTGTGCGGCGGGAGCGGGTGCCACCCTCTCCCCGGCGCTCAGCCAGCAGAGCCCAGCGGCGGCCACTCAGAACCTGCCGAGGCTGAGGGCACTGCCCTCGTGGCGGCCGGCCCCTGCCCCACGCCCTCTGCCGGGGCAGACCTGGCTGACTATCCGGTGAGGCCACTGTTCACACCGTCCTCAGGGAAGCCAAGGCCTGGCCAGGCCCAGCACCCTGCTCCCCGACGCCAGTCGCAGAGCATGTACACTTCTGATCCCTGGGAGCCAATAAAGTGCGTTTCCACAGGCCTGGCCCCGGCAGCTCTGTATCAGCCCCCCGTCTTCCCCGCCCCAGCACTGCCTCCTGAGCCTGGCCAGCCCCCAAGAGCTGCTGGGCCACGGTGGCCAACTGTCCCTGGGATAGAAGGGCAGCAGTGGCCGGAGACACGGAGAGGTGGGTGTGTGGGCAGGTGGCAGGAGAGGCTGGACTGTCAGCCGGCGGGGACAAAGGGCAGGCACCTGCGGCAGTCCCCACCGGCTGCGGCGAGAGCCGAGCCTCTCCACGCACAGCCAGGTGCAGGCCTGGGTAACCTGCACTCCCCGGGCTTACCCGCCTCCCCCATCCCCAGGACTTTGGGGAAAGAGGCTGGGTCTGGATTTGGACAGCCTGGGCAGGCGCACAGACGGATCTGAGGAGAGCAGTGGCGATTGGCCAGTTCAGCCTGGCCCCTCATCTCCCTAGCCCTCAGGTAGCAGCTTGGGTGCTGGGGCTTGGCCTGCCCTTCTCCCATGGGCAGCAACAGGTGTCACGCAAGAGTGGGCCTGGCGGGCACGGCGGTGAGCGGCACAGGCCTCCCATCCTCAACAGGAAAGTCTGGACCGGTTGACCCACCGGCCCCCGCCTAGCCAGTCAGTGCCGGGTGTGCTTCCCCCAGGACCCAGGCACCTTCCCTGGCTCCGGGGCCCACCTCCCCTGGGGTACCCTTTGCTGTCTTCACACCAGTGACTCCCAGCTCTCTTCTGGCCCCAGGTGTGCCTGCCACGTTCCTTACTTCCTTTGTTCATTCAGGCGCTATGGGCTGCCTTCCCTGTGCCAGCCACGCAAGTCCCAACCTCCGTCCCGTGTCCAGCTGATCCCTCACTGCGTTTGTTACCACCACCCTGGCCCACGGGCCTCTCCAGGGGCCAGTCCTGCCCCTCTCGCATCAGTGCCTCCCCACCTCTTAGGTCTCTGCTGACTGAGGCCCACCCCACCTGCTTGCTTCTCTGGAAACACCTCCCCTCCCCCACCCCCCAGGGCTTGGAGCTCCAGGACCTGGTCGGCCCTTCATGCTGTATCCCCTGGGTGCCAGCCTTTTGTGAATCTGAAGGGTCTGCCCCTGTGGGCATTCAGGGAGAGGGGGAGGGGTGGTCCCTGAGTTGGAGCTCGGATCAGCCAAGTGAGAATGGGGGGAAGAAGGCCCTGCGCGGGGCAGAGAGGCCTGGACATGCCTGGCCGGACACAAGTAGTGGTTGTGTGTCTTGACTTGTCCCTTGGGTTATGGGGTGTGTGTGTTTATCGTAGAGGGGCTGTCTCTCCAGCCAGAATGCAAGTCTGCGGGGTGGGGGTTTGTGCACTCCACTGCTGTGTGCCCTTCGTTCCCAGCCCAGAGCAGGGCCCCCACGCTGAAGGGGCAGCGTTGAAGGAATGAAGGGATCTTATTGTTGAAGAGCTTTGAACGTGTCAAAGTAGAGTTTAAAGAAAATAACATCTTTAAAATTCAGTCTTAAAAACTGCAATCTTAGTTCTTCAACCTTGTTTTTCCCATGTCAATCAAAAATTACAAGCACAGCCCACACCCACACCCACCCTCCCCCTCTCAGTCTCTAAGGTGGGCCCTGGCCCTGGCGAAGCACTCCATCTCCCACAGAACCAGCAAGAGGGGCCAGGTCTCCGCTGGGGACCTAGGCCTCATGAAGGTCTCCCCTGCAGCTCCCTGAGAGGCCCTCAGAAACCAGAATCCAGGCTGGCCTGAGGACCTCCTTTAACAGAAAAGCAGACCCCTGCTCCCACGTTTCACTGGCTGTGCCAATTTTATGCTGTCACCCAGACCCACTGCGGCTTGGGGAAGAGCTGACCACAAGCCCTGACCAGGCAACCCTGTCCTCCACACCCAAGTCCACTGGCAGGCTCCAAGAGGCCTGAGGCACCCACCTCTGGGACAAGACCAGAGGAGCCCCCACCCTTTCCTGCCCTTCGCCTTTAAATGACCAGCTCAAGTTGCCCTTTGGGAAATTTCACACATCGGGACAGAAGCCAATACAGTATTCTGGCCGCCCGCCCGGCGCCCCGCGCCGCGGCCCACCCCTCCTCGCCCTAGATCTCTCCGGCCAATGAGCTGCGAAGGGGTGAGCCCAATTGGTAGCGACCGATAGAGCGTGGAGCCCGCGGGAGGGGGCGGAGCGTGAGGTCTCGGCAGCCAATGGACGAGGGCAGGTGCTGGGCGGTGTAGCCCATTGGCGGCGCTGAGGGCGCGGGCGGGGCGGGGCGCGGCGCGGGGCGGTGGCGAGATGGCGGCGGTGGTTGTGGCGGAGCCTGGCCCGAGGCGCGTGGGCTTCGTGGGCGCCGGCCGCATGGCGGAGGCCATCGCGCAGGGCCTCATCCAAGCAGGTGGGGCGCGTGGGGTCCCGGGCCCGCGGGCTAGCGGGCGTCCGACACCGGCCTGTGTGGGAGGGACGGGCTTACCTCTCCGTTGCTCACCTGCCCCGCGGAGCCCCGGGCAGCACGGGGCCCTCCGCGCAGGGGCCCCAGGGTGGGGCTGGCCGGCGGGCGCGGGCCAGGGCGGCACGCGGACCCTGTGCCTCCGGTCTGCTTCCTCTGGGAGCGCGGCTGGAGGGGACGTGGTGGAGAGGCTCAGCGCCGGCCGTCCCCACGTCCGAGTTGAGATGTGCTGAGTGCACAGAATAAAATACACGTCGAATTTGGAAGATTTATCATCCAAACAAAAAATGACGTATCTTAGTAACTTTTAATATTGATTAGGTGTTGGAAGGGTAACATTTTGGCTACCTTGAGTTAAATAAGATGTACTTCAATTCACCCGTTTCTTCCTACTTGTTTAATAAGACTACTAGAAAATGTAAAGTTACGTGTGTGGCTCGAGCGATACTTCTCTTGGACAGCCCTAGCTTAGAGCGCGGGATCTCCTGCCGACTTCCTAACCTCGTGCCTCGGTCGAGCTGCCTGACCGCTGTGAGCCTCCGACTCTTCTTTCTGTTTGTTCGCCGGCTGCACCCCTGGTGTCCGGCACTGTGCACATTTGGGGCCACATCATTCTCCATTCTTCACATTGTAGGCTGTTTAGCCCCTTGCCTGGCTTCTCCCCACTAGATGTCAGTGACACCCCCAGTTGTGACAGCCAAAATGTCTCCAGACACTGTCAATGTCCCGGGGAGGGGGGCCAAAGTCGTCCTCGGTCGAGCGGCACTTACAGCAGGGATGGAGGTGCTGTCCTAATCATGCTCCACAGTATTCAGAAACCTTTATATGTAGATACGGACTGGCTTTCTGCCTTCAGCCATATGTCAAGGTCAGATCATCAGAAAACAGTTGACTGCAAGTCTCAGGTGTTTTACCTGTAAAACCTGCAGTATCACCTGCCTCCCCTGCTGCACGGAGTCTCACAGTGCTGCCACCGTCTCTTCAGGCCGTGGGGTGCACTTCTGCCTTCCTGCTAGACCTTACAGAAATCTGATCTGTAGAGGATTTCTACCAAACGGGCACTGAGCCTCTGCTTGGATGTCCCCGTACAGATGCACCCCCCTCCGGAGGAAGCTCATCCCCCACCCCAGCCTCCCTACCCACCATGCCCCCTCCCCAGCCTCACTGTTCCCGGAGGCAGGGATCCCTGGGATCTGTGTCCTCACGAGACAAGGCAAGCTCCCGGCCCCTGTGTCCGGCGGGGCGTCTGGACGCAGCAGCAGCAGGTGGGCAGCGATGGCTGCTGAGTAGAATCACGTGAAGCTGGCTGCCTGGTCCCAGCCGAGTGGAGCGGCCCCGCCAAGCACCTGGCTTCTTGGAGAGGCTCAGCGTGGCCCAGGTGTGGCTGAGCCTCAGAGACCTGCTGTAAGGGGCCTGCCAGGCTGGCTTCTCCCCGCGCCACATCCTCACTGACACCCCCTACCCGCCTTTGCCTTTCCTTCCAGGAAAAGTGGAAGCTCAGCACGTGCTGGCCAGCGCGCCGACGGACAGGAACCTCTGCCGCTTCCGGGTGAGCCGGGCAGCTCCTCTGAGTGGAGGCTTCCCAGGGCTCAGATGGCTCTTGGCTCCTTGGGGCCAGGGAAGTGCTGCTTACTTAGCTAAAGTTTTGAGACGGGCTGGGCTGGGCTGGGGAAGGGGAGGTCAAAGGCCAGAAGGAAAGTCAAGGTTGTGGAGGGCCCGGGTGGGGTAAAGGGGTGTGTGTGTGCGTGTGCGTGTGCATGCTGGACGGGCAGGAATGTCACGGGCACTCACTGGGATCAGAGGGCTCGAGGAGGTGCTGACACCAGGGCCATCTGAGGTTGAATCCTGAGCGAGAACGGGTGGTCTGGGCGCATGATGGGCATTAGGTTTAGGGCCATTTGCAATGGGGGGCCCGTGGGATTGCAGGGTGGGCTCCGGCAGGGAGGGCCGTGGTCTGGGAGGATGCCCGCTGACGTGGGCCTGGTCCCGGCAACCCTGCTGCAGGCCCTGGGCTGCCAGACCACCCACTCCAACCGGGAGGTGCTGCAGAGCTGCTCCCTCGTCTTCTTTGCCACCAAGCCCCACATCCTGCCGACTGTCCTGGCGGAGGTGGCTCGTGTGGTCACCGCTGAGCACATCTTGGTGTCTGTGGCTGCTGGGGTCTCCCTGAGCACCCTGGAGGAGGTGAGTGGCCTGTCGGGGTGCAGTGGGGGCTGAGGCTCTGACCCCAGGGTGGGCTCTGCTGGCCTCCCACCCCTGCCATCCCAGACCGGCTGCAGCCTGGGTCCAGCCCTTCCAGAAACCAGGATGGGTGGGTTGGGGGGCAGACAGCCTCTCAGCCGGCCTGCACAGGCGGCCAGGTGGCTAAGGGGCTGGGGTTAGGGCTCCTCCCACCTGGGGTTAGGGCGCCACGCCCGGGAAGTAGCAGGGAGCCTGCTCTGGCCCGGCGTGTGCCTGCCCGGCAGCCGGATCCCACAGCCGCCCTGATCGCAGCCTCTCTCCCGCCAGCTGCTGCCCCCGATGGCGCGAGTGCTGCGGGTCTCGCCCAACCTGCCCTGCGTGGTCCAGGAGGGGGCCATGGTGATGGCACGGGGCCGCCATGCTGGGAGCGGCGAGGCCAGGCTCCTGGGGACCCTGCTGGAGGCCTGCGGGCAGTGCGAGGAGGTGCCCGAGGCCCAGGTGGACGTCCACACTGGCCTCAGCGGCAGCGGTGTGGCCTTTGTGAGTGTCGTCTGGTCCCCGCACCCCAACCCCTGCCCTCACAGGCCGGCCCTCCCTCGGCAAAGTGGGGCCTTGTGGAGCCCCACCCCCCGACAGCCCCTGGCCCCATGGCTCCCCAGCTGGGTCCGCAGCTCCCCGTGTGCGCCGCCCACCCCGTATCTGTGCCTTCCTGGGCCTTTGAGGCCTTGTGGAGCACCCCCGACAGCCCCTGGCCCCATGGCTCCCCGGCTGGGTCCGCAGCTCCCCGTGTGCGCCGCCCACCCCCTGTTATCTGTGCCTTCCTGGGCCTTTGAGGCCGGCCCCTTGGCAGACCCCTGGGCTCTGGCCTCGGCTCTGGTGGCTGGTGTGCAGGACCTTGTTCCTGAGGGTCCCCAGCCTTTTCCAGGCTGGGTTCTGTGTCCAAGGGAGTGCTGGCTTTGTCCCCGCCCCCCGCTGCTACAGGTGTGCGCCTTCTCGGAGGCCTTGGCCGAAGGAGCCATCAAGATGGGCATGCCCAGTGGCCTGGCCCACCGCATTGCCGCCCAGACCCTGCTGGTGAGACCCTGCTGCCCAGTCCTGGGGGAGTGTGTGGAAGGGGAGGGGGCAGCACGCCTCCTGGGAGCTGTGGAAAGGGAGACGGGAGGCCTGAGCAGCCTGGGCTGAGACGGGGCGGCGGGGGTGGGGGTGGGGCTGAGCCGAGGAGGGGCTGCTGGCCTCCCCCGAGTCACCCCAATGCCACTTTCCCCAGGGCACGGCCAAGATGCTTCTGCAGAAGGGGCAGCACCCGGCTCAGCTGCGGACTGACGTGTGCACGCCCGGCGGCACCACTATCTATGGGCTCCACGCGCTGGAGCAGGGCGGGCTGCGGGCGGCGGCCATGAGCGCCGTGGAGGCTGCCACCTGCCGGGCCCGGGAACTCAGCAGGAAGTAGGGCGCAGGCACCGGGTGCAGGCCGTGGCCACCCCCCAGCCCCTTCCCGAGGACTCGGGTTCTCTCCAGCCTGCAGGCCAGTGGGGGAGCTGCTTGAGGTGTGGGAGGCTGGGTGGAGAACAGGTCCTGGCCAGCGGGGATCACAGCGGGCTGTGGGCCCCTCTCCAGACCCTGAGCTCGCGGCCAGCGGCAGGTGGAGCTGGTCCTGATGACCCTTCCCTGGGTCAAGAGTCCTGGAGGGTCCCACGGCCTGGCCTCTGACTGCAGGATTTGGTTCTTAGCATGTCTGTGAAAGGACCAACAGGCCAGGAAAGCCAGCAACTTAGGGCCCTAAGCAAGGACGAGGGGCCTCTGGGTGCGGGGCAGACTACCTGCAGCCCAAGGCTCACAGGGGCCTCCCCACCCCACACGGGCCCTAGTGCTGGAGCCCCTTCCTTCCACCCGCCAGCTGTGAGGCTCGCGGCAAAGTGATCCCCTGGCTGTGAACAGGGCTTACACGGCAGCCTGCCCCTCACTGCCCGCACAGCCCTGAGCCCCCCACCACTCCAGCCTTCATGGGCGGCTGGCCCTCAGCCAGCAACTGTGCGTCTGACCCTGGCCCTTCCACCTGCTAGAAGGCTCAGCCTGAGTCCATTTCGGCACCTTTTCTTTCACTTTTGAACTGCGGCTGTCCTATAGCATGGAGCAACCAATATTGAACTGGAGGCTGGTAAAACCAAATTCCAAGTGCCTGGAAGCACGTCTCAGCCAAGGCCCAGGATACTGGGCTCAGACTCGGAGCTGTGGGTGTAGGTGGTCTGGGGACAGGGTTTCCCATCACCCGAGAGCTCTGCAAGGGTAGGCTCCCCCTGCCCCCGCCCAGCACTCCAACCTCACCCTCAGCTGTACGTCCATGGGTCCCTGCCATGTATCTTCCAACAGAATCCCTGAGGACCAGGCAGGGTTCGGCTTGGGGAGTGGAAGATGCACCTCTGCCCAGCCCTGCCCTTAGGCGGTCACCTCCTGAATGTGAGGTGCCCGGTGAGCCCAGCTGGTGATGGCCCGTGACAGGAAATGCCAGTTGAAGAGGGCGTGACCCAAGAACAGCAGCTTGGGGCAGGGGCGGGCAGGGTTGCAGCCCAGTCACTGGCCGGCCAAGTCTCTTCACCTTATACTGCGAAGCTAAAATTACTTTTCTCAGAAGCTGGTGGATGTGAACTTTTTTCATCAATGTTGTCCCTTTTCTGTACCCTCCCCACTTTTTCAAATCAGGTGTTCTGGATCCAAGCACTAGACAGTTACAAAAATAAGACTAGAACAGGGATCATGTGACGTTGGCACATCCAGCCTTTATTATAAAGCGTGCTGGGCCTATCTGGCCGGTGACCTCTGCTGTCAGTGAGGTTGGCTGTGAAAGGGTCCCTCGACAGGGCAAGCACCCACAGCCCACTTTAGCACCCTTGCCCCCGGGGCTCTTGGGCTAGTAGGCTGGGGGTCCCAGGAGGCCCGAGCCCCTGCTGGAGGGCGCCCCCTTCCTCTCACCCCGCGCTCCAGTGCTCCAGCGCTCCAGCTTCGGTCCAGCTGTCACCTGGGGGCTCATTCCCAAGCGTGAGGCCCCTCGGGCAAGCTTGGCCTCACACGGGTTCCCTCTGATGCTGCAGCCTGGTCTTGCCCTCCCAACCCCCCAGCTGGGCTGGCTTCAGCAGAAGCCACAAGCTCACCTTTCCACCTGCAGTGCTTTCCTGCTGTGCCTACCACCAAGCCCACGGGGCCAGCCCTGACAGTGACTGACCAGGGGCTGCTTTTTGGAATCAGTGATCTTCACCGCCTTGAGGATTTGTCAGAGGGCTGTGAACAGGATGGGGAGAGCATGGTGGCTGTGTCCCTGAGCACCTCCCAGGCCACAGGGGTCCCACACCCTCACAAGAGACGTGTAATCCTTGAGGGCAAGAAACCCAGTCTCCAGCATGGTGCCCAGCACTCTGCAGGTAGGGCTGTTGAAGGAATTCAGGCAGCAACTAAGACCCCTCCCTCTGTGCCATCAACCGCCTTACCCTCCTTAGCACAAACCAGGGAGCGGCTTAGATGCCCTGGGCCCAGCAGGTATCGGCAGTGAGGCCACTTCACCCATTCTGCAGAGAAAAGCTGGCGTCTCCCACAGGAAGCCTCTGCCCTGTGGTTCACAGTGAGGTGAGCCCAGGGAGGTGGGTGACCTCGTGCCAGAGCTGCGATGGGGCCCAGGGTCACAAGGATCATTGCTGGGGCTGCGTTTGGGGCCAGAGCCACCCTCTTCATGTGCAGGGCCCGGTGGCACCAGTGCCCCCATTGTAGAGAGGACACCTTCGGAGGCCCTTGGGTGAGGTAGTCCCCAGCCCAGCAAAGCGAAGCGGCTCCCAGACCCACCCTTGCCGGGCCCCCTAACTCTTCAAGGCCCCAGGCCAGCCCGCGCTGTGCCTCATTTCCGCGCTGCCCATCCAGGGCCTTGGAGACCGTGCAGAGCCACCTCCTGGGGTGCAGCCTTGGTTCTCCAGAGGGGACGAGGCTGGCGCCACATGAGAGGAGGTGGGAGGTCCTGTCCTGATAGCCGGTTCTCAATACCAACTGCAGTCCCCCTGCCCAGGCTCCGGGGTACAAGAGGATTAAAGGCTGAGGCAGGAAACCTGGCAAGAGGGGCAGGGCCCATGATGCTACCAGAGGCCACCCTCGCCCGGTGCCCACCTGGGCTCTGAGGTCTGTCTCTCCACAGGCCCCTATAGGCGGGCAGGGCAGAGGACCAGCAGGCTGGCCATCGTGACCAGGAGCTCCCGGCCTGGGTCCCCAGGTCGCCACCAGCTGGAGAGGCAGGTGGTGTGACATGCAAGACATCCTGAAGCCGCGTGCAGCTGCTTGGTTAGGCCCAGGGCCAGCGTAGACCGCCAGAGGCTCCTGCAGGTGTGCAGGCTTGACACAGATGGAAGTGGAGGTGCCAGGTGGGCCCCAGCAGTTGCGGCTGGAGGCTGCTGCCTGGGCCTGGCTAGCCAAGCCTCCCTTCTCTTGTTCCCAAATCCTACATACTGTCCCTCAGCTTTCAGATTTGACATATACATATGTGGTTTTTCTGGGGGGGTTTGTTCATTTTTTTTGACTGGGGGTGGTTCCAAGGAACAGTTTACGTCCTTGCTCTGGGGGCGCCCAGCCGTCCTACCGCCGTGCACAGCCCTCCCGTCCCACAAACACAGCACCTGTCTGTGGCCTCTGCAGTCTCAGACCACCAGGAGGATGGGGCAGGTGAGGATGAGGGCAGAGCGCTGAGGCAGGCAGCACCTCAAATCCAGCCCCACTGCCCCTCACAAGAGCTCTGGGTATCTCTGCAGGGCAGCCTCTGGGAGGCCTGGGTGGGTATCTCTCGGCCTCAGGCCACCAGCAGGATCCTGAATCTAGAGCTGGACAGTTACAGAGCCCTTGCCTTCTCCTTACAAACTGTGCCATCTAGGAGCCTAGTTGATGGGGCCATGGGAAGCAGCTCCTCAGCCACGCCTTGGGCAGTGCCAGGCGTGGGAGAGAAACCTGAGGGCAGGCTGGGCAGGGGAGCCTTGGAGGGGAGCTAAGGCACTGAGGGTTGTCCTGGCATGGCCGTCAGTGCCACAGGGCTGCTCCGGGGAAACGGGATGGCTCTGGGCTCTGGGGCTGGACAAAGTGGCCTGTGGCTGGCCCAGCCACTGGTCTGTCACCAGGGCCCAGGTCTAGTGCTCGCCAACCCCACGGAACAAGAGAGCTGTTCAGAATGTTTTCTTAAGGAAAGTTAAAAATCCGAGTGGAACAGAAACCTACAGCCCTCGCTGCACCCAGAACCTTGGGAGGCCCCGCGTGCCGGGCACCATCCTCCCTTCCAGCCCACAGAGCCCTCCACCCCGGGTCCCTGAAGCGTATCTGTTAAAGACAGACTTAACGCGCTAAAAACAAAACGAGTGGTGTGCTTCCCATTGAGACGACCGACCGCGTGGCTGTGGTCGGGAGGGATGGGAGCGCCGGGCCCTCGTCCGGTACAAGTGCTGGGCGGTGTGGACAGGAACATGGCTGGAGGCCTCAGCCCCACAGGGGCCAGGGTGGGAGCACAGCCACCTGCTCTCTGATAAGTGCTGTGGTGTGTGTGCCAGGCCTGCACGAGAGGGCACCTGGCTAAGACCGCAGACCCCACGTGCGCGCCTGCCCAGGGAGGGGAAGCAGGCGCCCGCGGCCTCTGTTCTGTCCCCACATGAAACGCGGGCACCAGTGGAGGGGACGGCCCTTCACCAACAGAGCTCCTCTGAGCCAGGCTGGGCTGGGATCCCTGCAACCCCGAGTGGGGGGGGGGGCCACCCCAGGGGAGGGGAGGAGAGATGGGGAGGCTGTGTGTATCCCCTCCAAGTGCCGCAGGAGAAAGGCCACTGGGGGCTGCTCGGACTGGCCTGGTCACACCCCATCATCAGGGACTGCAGGAGAGGGCCCGATGCCCCCCAGCCTCCGGGCCATGCTGATCAGTGAGCGAAGCTGCACCAGCTTCAGCGGCCCTACCTCCCGGGGGTCCCGGCTCTCCAACCATCGCAGAGCTGTCTCCAGGCCCCGCACGGCCTCCCCAGCGGAGGGCACGGCGGCCTCCTCCTCCTCCTCTCCTCCCGCCGCGACAGAGGGCAGGCTGGCTGGGGGCGGAGGGGCCCCAGGGACCAGCACGGGAGGCCGGCTGGGGCCTGGGTCCTCTCTGCAGCCGTCGGGCAGCCCCCCGTCATCGTCCAGGTGCAGCCACTCGGCCACCTCCTCGGGCGCCAGCCGCTTGCAGGCCAGGGCTGCCAGGTGCGTGAGGTCGCTAAGCACCGTGCTGCGCTCCGCGGCCTCCTCGGCCTGGCCGGCTGGCTGCCCAGCGCACTCCTCCGCCGGCCGGGGCTCAAAGGCAGCCCGCAAGCCCAGCAGCCAGCAGCGCTCGATGCTGCCTGCCTGCACCAGGTCCCAGGAGAGGCCGGCCAGGTAGAGCATGTCCTTGAGCATGAAGCTGCGCATGAAGTCCAGCGGGGACCCCCCGGCGCAGGACACGGCCAGCCGCAGCAGCTCCCGCTTGTACAGCTGCTTGAAGGCGGCCACCACCCCCTGCTCCAGTGGGGCCGGGATGTGCGCCCGGCTGCTGCCCTTGGACAGGAACAGCACCCGCACCGCCCCGTCGGGGGTCTGCAGCTCCTCCGGAGGGCCCAGGGGCTCAGGCCGGCACCTCCTGGGGGTCTCCTCGCTCTCCTCCAGCGTGGGCATCCTGGCCGCAGGGCTGGGGCAGGGCGGGTGGGCGACCAGCAGCACAGCCTTCTGCTGCAGGCAGCTGCGGCGCAGGTAGCGCCTGACGCCCGGGACGAACTCCTCGAAGAACCAGCCGCGCAGCAGCGGGCGGCTGAGCCAGGCGTCGGGGCTGTAGCGGTAGGAGGCGGGGAACTTGTCCTGGTTGTGGTGGCGCAGGCTGGGCGGGTCCGGCAACTGCCCGATGACCAGCGGCTTCAGCTTGTGGCTGCCGGTCAGGTTGGCGGCCAGCAGCACCGTCACCCGGTCGCCCCGCCAGCGACGGCCACAGCCCCCCGCGCCCAGGGGCGCGGCCTGCTCCGGAAGCAGCTTCCAGTAGAGACCGGTGACGTTGGCGTTGTAGATCTGCTCGTCGCCGTAGCCGCCCTCGGCGGGGGCAGGGGAATTCAGGGCGCGGTCGGGCAGGGGGCCGGTGCGGGTGAACTGCGCGGGCTCCTGCTTGACCGGCAGGCCGGGCGCGGGGCCGGCGGCTGGGGGCTCGGCCTCGCCGTAGATGCGCTGGCTGGAGATGCCGTGGCGCTTCTGCCAGCGCCAGAACCAGCCGTGGCTGGCCTTGAAGGTGCACTCGGGCCCGTAGATCTGGCGCGCGAAGGCCTCGGCCTGCGCTTGGATGAGCGGCCCCGACAGCGGCACGCCGTGCTGGCGCAGCGCCAGGAACCACGAGTAGACGGCGCGGTCGATCTCCTCCTCGTTGGCTAGCCGCATCTTCTTGCGCTGCGTGCCCACCTCGCCGCCCAGCTGCTCCAGGAACCAGCGCAGCTTGGGCTCGTCCTTGAGCCAGCCGCGCAGCGTGCCGCCGGGCACGCCGAAGTCGCGGCACACGCTGGCCTGCCGCTCGCCGCCCTTGACGCGCTCTGGCCTGCAGCTTGTCCTTGATGGAGTAGGCCTTGCGGAAGGCCATCTTCACA